GCATCTCCCCTTTCCCTAGCATCCTCATCCTCAGTGCCCTAGAGAATGCCAGACAAACTTAGGAGGGAGGGATGGGTTCTCAAAAATTATAAGCATTAGCAGAGCTAAACGTAGCACCAGAGTCCTATCTTCTGTCTAATTTGGGGAAAAGGGACATATATGTAGGCCATTAAGTGCTTTCTCTTTTATAGCATGAAGCTGTGCAGTTTGACATGAATTGGAAAGTGCCTGCTATCCTTTATTACACCAAAAGAAATCTTAATTCTAAATACAGCCTGAACAGTAAGTGGTACAAGAGTAGATCCAAGGTGTGGGTAGTTTAGAATGGTCTTCAGGAAGAGACCTGGGAAGTAGCTTTATAAGATGAGGATCTGTGCCCTTACTGGGTAGCTCAGTTGATTAGAGCATCATCCTGATACACCAAGGTTGCAGGTTCTATCCTAGTCAAGAAGCAACCAATGAATGCATAAATAAGCGGGACAACAAATTAATATATCTCTCTCTCTCTCTCTCTCTCTCTCTCTCTCTCTCTCCTTTCTCTCTCTCCCCTTCCCTCTCCCTCCCTTTCTCTAAAAAAAAAATCTATCAATAAAAAAGAGGCATGCTTAAAAAAAAATTTAAGATCTGCAGCCAGTGTTAATATTTCCAGGGAGTCCTACTCATAAGGCCTTAAATTTAGAAGCTGAAGATCCTGAAGGTATAGTGGGAAGGAGGTGTTGGGGAAAAGTCTGATCAAGTAGCTAAGGTTATGATTTTGAGTCTAATCATTCTTACCCTCAAGTGAAGATCTCTTTTGGAAATGAACTCCTTATTAAGTCCCTTTTTGGTGCCTTTAAACTGTAACTTCATTTTTGTAGATTTTTCTAAGCTACAGTCCAAAATGAAAATCTTATTCTTTCCTTTCTGTTGACTTTTTTTTTCCATTATCACATTTCTTTGTTGTTGTTAATCCTCACCCAAGGATATTTTTTCTCATGACTTTTGAGAGAGTGGAAAGGAAGGAAAGATGGGGAAAGAGAGAAACATTGATGTGAGAGAGACACATCCATTGATTGCCTCCCATACACGCCCCAACCAGGGCTGAGAATCGAACCTGCAACCCAGGTATGTCCTGATACTCTAACCACTGAGAAACACCAGCCAGGGCCTTATCACATTTCTTATTTACCTGTTCCATCTACCTGCTTTGTTCATCAGACATGATCTTTTTACTCATATGCTTTAATTATTGAGGGATCACAGTGTAGACCTGGTCTCTGGTCAGCTACCTTGGGCTTCCCTCCCCTGGTCAGTTCCCTGCCCCCAGCAATGTGTCTTCTGGATTCTCCCTTTCAGTCAAGAACCCTATTGAGGCAAGTGTCCTGATGGCTGAAGCCTCACTAGCACGGAAGCAGCGGAAAACACATACTACCTTTATTCCGCTGATGCTGAATGAGATGCCACAGGTTGGGGACCTGGTGGGCCTGGATGCTGAATTTGTCACTCTTAATGAGGTAACCAAGACCAAAAAGTGTAGAATGTTAGAACAGAAATCTGGGGATACTAGGAGTCATAAGTATTTCTCTGATTTCCTTATTAACTCTTCTTATGCAGGAGGAAGCAGAGTTGCGCAGTGATGGGACCAAGTCTACCATCAAACCAAGTCAGATGTCAGTAGCTAGGATTACCTGTGTTCGGGGCCAGGGACCCAATGAGGGTATCCCTTTCATTGATGACTACATCTCTACCCAGGAGCAGGTATTAGAATATGGAAGTGCAGGTAGCACAGACCCTGTGCTTATATAGAGTGCTCTGGAACCCAGGGAAGAGTGGTAGGGGGAGATTGTACCTCATTTCCCGAGAGACTTGTCTTTTTTTCTATCCCTAGGTCGTGGATTACTTGACTCAATACTCAGGAATAAAGCCAGGAGATCTCGATGCCAAGATTTCCTCTAAGCACCTCACAACTCTCAAGTCTACCTACTTAAAGCTTCGTTTTCTCATAGACATTGGAGTCAAGTTTGTGGGTCATGGTCTGCAGAAGGACTTCCGGGTCATCAATCTCATGGTTCGGGCAGGGCTATTTTAAGAGTCTTCTTTGCATGTGGGCCACTCAGGGTATACATTGTGCCTTTGGGGAATGGAAAAATATGGAATCCCTTATCTTTAGCCTTCCATTCTTTTATTCCTGCCAGGTGCCCAAGGACCAAGTCCTTGACACTGTCTATCTGTTCCACATGCCCCGAAAACGAATGATTTCCCTGCGATTCCTTGCTTGGTACTTTCTGGGTGAGTTGCTCTGCCTTGAAGATCCTTGTGGAGCTCATTAAGAGCAGGAAAAAGTGTTGGAGGGGCCAAAGGGAGGAAAAAGGACCCCGAGTTATTGGTGAAGTTATTGAAGGACTTAATTAGCTTCAATATCCCTTCTGTACACCAGGGATGGTGTTTGGCCTCTTCCCTTAAAGGCAGTAGGTTTTTTATTGCTTATTGGTTTTTTATTGCTTATTGGGAGTTGGGGATGTGAGTAGGGGACATGTTCTTATCTTCCTTTGCTAGGTCTCAAACTATTCCACCTCTACCTCCCCAGACCTGAAGATTCAAGGGGAGACCCATGACAGTATTGAAGATGCGCGTACAGCCCTTCAGCTTTACCAAAAGTATCTGGAGCTAAGCAAAAATGGCACTGAGCCCGAGTCCTTCCACAAAGTGCTCAAGGGCCTCTATGAGAAGGGCCGAAAGATGGACTGGAAGGTGCCTGAGCCTGAGGGCCAGACAAGTCCCAAGAGTAAGGCCTGGGATGGGACAAGGGAAACCGAACTGGGTGGGTTTTGATTGCATATGTGACAGTTATACCCACCATAATAATGATGATGATAACAGTACCATCCCTACCTTATATACTTGCAAAGCACTTAACAGTGTACAAAGCATTTCATCCAACCATCAGTGAAATAGCTTTTGTTGCTGAGACTCTCCTCTTGGCCAGTTCTAAAATGTTTGGGGCAGGTCCAAGCCCTCTTTCCTCTTGCATTTTTCCTTCCTAAGAAGAATCCAAGGTACTTTTTCTTCACTCACCTTAAGAGTCAATGTTCTTGGTTTTATCTCTGACAGATGCAGCTGTTTTTTCTTCAGTGCTGGCACTCTGACCTCATCCTCTCCCAACCAGCTTCTGCCTCTCCCTTCAGTGTTCTGCGGCCTCAGAACTGGGAGATAGCTTCCTAAGTTGGCTATACCCTGTCTACTTCCAGAATTGAACCTGCTCAGGGTTTACAGGTGGTGCTATTAATAGAACTGGAATGCAACAGAATTGTTGCAAAGGGTCTAGCAGCCAGATTCCTTTTACATCCTTTGCAAAAAACAAAGTCTAGATGAAAAGTAATTGGTATTCTTAATAAATATCCTGGGTGATTAATATCCAGGCAAAGAAGATCCTGGAACCAAAACTTTCAGTTCCTAGTTAGCTAAGTACTGGAGAGTAACCAGATACAACAACAGTAGTTCAAGACTTAGCTCAAGCTCAAGCCTGTGACTGCTTGAAGAATGCCAGGAAGCCAGCATACAGAGTCTTGGTGGCCCTAGCAAACCAGTGTTGCCAACACCATCATTGCCAAAAGGGCCTTCGAGTCCAAGACAAAGCTTGGCTGCTGGCTTCCTTCCTGCTGACAGCTGAGAAGCATCTGTCTTCCATCCACTCCACTTTCCTGTTACAAGTTTCATTTTCTTGTTATTTTTTAAAGTTTTGTTTTAAACTGCATGTTTTATAAAATAAAAACAAAAATATTATTGACTGTCATCTATCTCATTGGAGACCTGCGAGTGTGGGGTTCTCTTTGGCCTTCCTCTCCTTTCTCTGTGTTGTCTATTATAAATGAGGAAATCTAAGGCCTTTAAATTCCCACTTAGAATTAAAGGTAAAGCTGTGTGGAGTCCAAAGTTAAGGATATTGGAGGAGTATAATTAATGTCTGACCTGGACAGAGTTAGGTCACTGCTGTGGCTGCCTCAGGTCGGTTTCTTTTAAGACGTACAGTCGGACTTGCCAGGTAACGGTGGAAGGGGAGTGGAGAAGCTGACAAACTACAGGTCCCAGGACACCTTACAACCTGTGGCTACTAACGGGGTCTGCGTGGTGCTGCGGTGCTCCCTGGGAGATGTAGTTTCCAGGGCATTGAAACGAGCTTTTTATTCTTATTGTTGAAAGTATTATACAAGTAACATATGTAGATCGGGCTTCATATCGGCCATCAGCGCACCTTCGCTTTTGAAGGTCCCAGCCCACTAGACGCGCACGCCCGCCTCCGTGCCCGCCCAGGGCCGGCCCGGTGCAGCCGCTCCTTTCCTCGGCTGACCCCTGGCGGTCACGTGGAGCTGCTCGCCACGCAAGCCGGCCCCGCGACCCGCCGGGGTCCTCGCTGCCTGGGAGTCGCTCCGAATCCGCCTGTTCGCGCGAGAGTGGACGAGCGGGTTTGGGGTCCGACCCTGGCGTGGGCCGGCGCCGCAGTGAATCGGAGCCCGGCGCAGGCGCCCCCATAGGGTGCGGGGAGCTGTTCAGGCGGTCGCCGGGGCACCCCGTGTCTGAAAGCACCGGAGCCTCTGGAGGAGCCGGGACAGCCCCGCTCCCCGCAGCTGGGCGCTAGAGTCCAGACCTAACGTGAGAGACCGACCGGCCTGCAGCGCCCGGCCCACGGCGGCGGCCCCGGGAGCAGAGGTGGGACGGGTGCGCGTGGCGCCGAGGGTCGGGGTGGGCCGGAGCGAAGGCCGCGGCGGGGTCCTTAGAAAGGGGCCGGTCCGCAGAGGAGACCGTCTATAGGCTGGAGGTGAGATGCGGGCATCTCCGTCCGAGTCCCCGCAGCCTGGTCCTGGGTGTGCGCCACGCGGCTGGCCACGCGCCGCTTCCCGCTCCCGTCGGCAGCTTCTTGCCGGCAGCTCCTCTGCCTCTCGTCCTCGCTGCCTCCACCTTCGCTCCGTGGCTGCCACACGGCGCGGTGAGCCCGGCGCAGAAGCCGCGGAAGCACAAACATCCAGGGCCTCCCCTGCGGCATAGTGTCGGGGGCTGAGCCCCAGATCCGAGCTCGCGCCGACACCCACCGCCCGCGGGAATCCGGGTCCTCCAGCGCCGAAGCCGCAGAGCCCCTTGTGTGTCCCGGCCATTTCCTGGAAAGTAGAACCAGTCACCCTGCGGCCTGTGTAGGCCTTGGGATGAGAGGCGGGTGGGGGAACGGAGCCGGCTCCTCACACTTACGCTTTATTCCCACCCAAACCCAGGTGGAGCGACCCCATTACGTTAGAGATGAAAGGCTGGGGCTGGCCGGCCCTACTTCTGGGGGCCCTGCTGGGAACTGCCTGGGCTCGGACGGCCCAGGATCTACACTGTGGAGGTAAAGACACAAAGAGAAGTGGGAGCAGGAAGGTGGGGGGTGCAGAGCTTTGGGAGGTCCTGAGATCGAAGCCTGGATGAGAATGAATGGAAATCCCCAGGTTGACTCCTTTCCCCCTCCCCCACCTCCTCTCCCCCTGCGCCAGCTTGCAGGGCTCTGGTGGATGAACTAGAGTGGGAAATTGCCCAGGTGGATCCCAAGAAGACCATCCAGATGGGCTCTTTCCGAATCAATCCGGATGGCAGCCAGTCAGTGGTGGAGGTAACTGTTACTGTTTCCCCAAATAAAGTAGCTCACTGCCAGGTTGAATGAGGACTCGACTAATTAAGGAGCTTGGTTTAATAGAAAGGAAGAGAACATGGACCCAGAGAGGTACCTGAAAGATAGGCTGCCTCATTGGGAAGAGGCTGGAGACTTACACCCTGTGCACTGGCTTCCTGGTTGCAAGCCTTGACACTTTGTTTCTGCTGTAGAAGATGTTAGCAGACCCGGAACCCTGATCAGCCCTCTCTCCACATCCTTAATCCATGTGACTCATGTTTTCAGTGGCAGTATGGTATTCACACATTCACAAAAAAGAAATAGACGTTCTCATTCTTATATTTAGGAAATTTATTTTAGTTGAAAACATAACACATATAATAAAGTTGTACCTAATGAACAATAAAGAAATGTAAATGTAATGCTTGTGAAATGATTTAATAGTTGTTATCCTCAAAACCTATACTACCTTTCTAATGTTCTATTGAGGGCAGGTTTTAGTCTCATTTTAATACAAAATCATTATCTTACATCCATAAACATTAAAGGAATTCAAAGGAAAAGAACATATAGTTGACGAGGGTTAATTGAAGAGGTCTCTTTATAATTTGGGCCTAATGGCACCTGTTTTATATCTTGGGCTTGTATATGGGTAAAATAAGACTACAGTATTTGAAAACACTTTGGAATTACAAAAATAAACCCATACTGTTTTTATATAAGGCAGGCTTTTTACAATAGGTTGGTTGAGCTAGATTTGGAAGGAAAAGTAAGGATGTAAATTACTAATGTACAGAGGTAGAAGAGAGTGACCCAAGGCTGAGGACATTTCTAGGTGCCTTATGCTCGCTCAGAGGCCCACCTCACGGAGCTGCTAGAGGAAGTATGTGACCGGATGAAGGAGTACGGGGAACAGATGGACCCTACCACCCACCGCAACATTTACATACGTGTAGTGAACCGGAATGGAGAACCCAAAGACCTGAATCTAGAGGGCATCCGAATTGATTCAGACATCCGTGGCACCCTCAAGTTTGCGGTGAGCTATGGGGGTGGGTAGCTGGTTCTTAGAAATTAGGGGAGTTATTGGAGAGCCCAAGTGGAAAACAGGATTAATATCCTTGTTCTCGAGTCAGAAGCAAGAGCCTCTTCTTGCTGCCTTCTCTCACTCGGTTCTTCCTTGGATTGGCAGTGTGAGACCATTGTGGAGGAATATGAGGATGAACTCATTGAATTCTTTTCCCGAGAGGCTGACAATGTGAAAGACAAACTTTGTAGCAAGCGAACAGGTAAGCTGCTCCCACGTTACCTTTTGTCCTCACAGCTCTGTGGAATCAGGCACATGCCCTAGCAGCCGCCCTACCCCTGATAGTAGCTCAAGAGTTGGCTTCCGTGATCCATGGCTTAGGGACTTGGGCTGTTCCTATTCATTCTCTTCCCGTCAGCTTTCAGAATTTGTGGCTCACTCATGAGGTACAAGTCAGAGGATAATGGGAATGTTTTGTCATTTAAAAGCATATGCTCTGGCCCTGCCAGAGTTGCTCAGTTGGTTGAGCATCGCAGGTTGCCGGTTCGATTCCGAATCGAACCCTATTGGGGCACATCTGATCAATGTTTCTCTCTCTCTCTCCCCCCGCCCCCCCCAGCCCCCTTCTCCCTTCCTCCCTCCTTCCTTCTTCTCTCTAAGCATGTCCTCGGGTGAGGAGTAAAACAAAAAAACATGCTTTGAAAAATGGTGGTTGGTATGTGTATCAGTTTGATTTGGGGGTATTTTCTTAATAGTGGCCTATATCAATATAAGAGTGGCATTTTCTTTCTAACTGTTATGTGCTGTTTGCAGATTTATGTGACCATGCCCTGCACATACCGCATGATGAGCTGTGAATCACTGGCGCGGGCCCCAACTGACAAGCTTGATGGATCACCCCCAGGAGGGGAAAAGGTGGCAATGCCGTTTATATTATGTTTATAATGAAATGAACTGAAAAAAATATGAAACTAAAAGGATGAACTGTGTTGTCTTTTCATGCCCAGAATTGGTCCAGATTAGGTTTGAAGATAGGGGGTTCCAGACAGGAAATAAAAGGGAAGGGATGGAAGAGCTTTGGGAATGGTATCGCAGGAAGGTAGGAGGAGCCTGAAGCTTTCGTTCTTTGCCATCTGAGATTCCTGCTGCACTCACAAACTAGATAAACATTTACTCAGTGCCTACTCAAATGTGTTTCGAGCTTAATTGTGGAGAAAAGAGGACCCTCTGTGAATGAGCAGAAGAACATAAGTAAGCGTATGGTGGTATAGGATTCTAGAAATTACATGTGTTCATACTGATGAAACGTAAAGTAAAACAGCTTGGTCTCGAAGGAAATAATGGACATGCATTATTTTTCCTCCCTGCCCTTCCAGATGGAGGGATCAACAAGAGCATTCAGGAAGGGGAAAATGGATGTGATCAACTCAGCTGAAAAGTAAGGGCTTTTTCAGATAGGGAGAAATTAGGTAAGGAATGTTATTTAATGAAAGGCCTTATTTGATGGCCTACGTTTTTAGATTTGGTGCCAACAGCAACACTAAAGTATACCCTTTTCATCTTCATCACTAGCTATTGTCAATCTAGACTATAAGTCTGTGCTCACTCTCTGTATGTAGAGATTCTGTACTGGGGCATAGTGATGAAAACAAGGATACCTTCTTTGAGGAGCTTTTTAAATACCTGATTCGGGGATGTGGCTGTCTTAGGTTTGAAATGGAACATTTCTGTCTCAGGAATGCCTCAGAGAGAGAACCTGAATAAACATTTCAAAGACTTCTTAAATTAAGCGTTTGAGAATCTAAAGGAACCTTGGAGGTCATCTAGTTCACCTCTACCCATTGACATATGAAGAAAATAAGGCCCGGAGAAACCACAGGTTCTGAAGTTATGCATTCAGTGACAAAACTGGATCTAGTATACGCTCTTTCCAAAAGTTAATATGATCTGATATAGCTATGAACTAGCTTCTATTTTAAGTCTTTTTTTCTCTTATTACCTTGTACACAAAATGAATGTATTCAACAAAGCTTTCTTATACCACAATCCCTATGAAATCTAACACATGATATAGCTTAGAGAAAGTACCCTAAAATTAGTTGACAACTAACTAAACTCAAGATCTAGTGTTAATTTCTTCTTCTTTCATCATTGATAAGAAATGCTATATCCTATCAAATCAATTTCCCAGAGCAGCTTACTAACCTTTTTGTCTTCTGTGACGCACATGAATCATGTTCACATGCTTCGTAACCCTGTGAGTATGCCCAGGATTTTGTCCATTGCCTACCTGGTATCTAAATACTTCTTACTCTTCCATCAAAAAGCTTATTAGAAATATAAGTAAGAGTAGTCAAATAGGGAACTTGAAACTTTTAATTTACAAAAAATAATTATCCACAAGTTTTAATAAAATAAATTTAATGTTAATCAGTAACAAATTACTTGAGATGCACCTTGCTAGTTTGTCAGGGAACAGCTGTTAAGAATTCCCCCAGCCCAGGTCTTTGCCCATTGTACATTGGGATGTGTCCTACATAGGAAAGAGTGGATGTGGTTGTTTTTGACTTGATCCTCGGAAGGTAGGAGGATATACTCTGTATATCTCTTAATTCATATCATAAATTACCACAAGGAATTGGTTAATTTTCCTAAATCCTTCTGGAGGCTCACCGTAACAAATTGTTCTAGCCCAGTATTTGATACAGTGTATACTCAACCTTGCATATCTGGTTACACTTTAAGCTTTAGATGCCTTCTAATGAATTTATCAGTGAAATGGTAAAACTCAAAACATTCCCAAAGCCAGTGTTTAAATGCTGTCTGGACATGACTAAGAAAATTTATTATGTGAAAAACCAGTCCTTTAAAAATAAGTTTCAGAGGATTTTTTGCTGTTAAAAAGCATTCAGGCCCTAACCGGTTTGGCTCAGTGGATAGAGCATCAGCCTGCGGACTGAAAGGTCCCAGGTTCGATTCCGGTCAAGGGCATGTACCTTGGTTGCGGCACATCCCCAGTAGGAGGTGTGCAGGAGGCAGCTGATCGATGTTTCTCTCTCATCGATGTTTCTAACTCTCTATCCCTCTCCCTTCCTTTCTGTAAAAAAAAAAAGCATTCAGAACAGGAACAAGCCCTGGTTGGTGTAGTTCCCTTAGAGCATCATCCCATGCACCTAAAGGTTTCGGGTCGATTCCCTGTCAGGGCACATACCTAGGTTGTGGGTTCAGTCCCTGGTTGGGCACATACGGGAGGCAACCAATCGATATTTCTCTCTCTCTCTCTAAACCAATTAAAAAAAATTTTTTTAAAGAAATAAAATGAGTAGGGACAAGATTCCTTTAAACAGAACTGGGATGAATAGCAGGGAACTGGTTCAGTTGACCCTTGAATAATGTGGGGGTAAGGGACACCAGTCGCCACATAGTTGAATATCCACGAACAACTTTGGACTCCCTGAAAACTTAGCTGGAGTTGTCCCTTGGTGTCCCTGGAAGACTGGTTCCCACTGACATCAAAATATGCAGATGCTCAAATCCCTTAGATAAAATGGCATAGAACAATGCATATACTTACTTGGTCCTCTGCATCCACGATTCCCAACTGCAGATCAGAAATACTGTTTTCGATCTGTGGATATGAAATCTGGGGATACAAAAGGCCGACTGTATACTTAACTGAAAAAATTCATGTATAAGTGGACCTACTGCATATGTTGAATACTCCCATAACAAGGACATACACATTCTGATTTAACGTTACAACTCTTAGGAAATAGATGTGCCTGGCTGGTGTGACTCTGTGGTTGAGCATCAACCCATGAACCAGGAGGTCACAGGTTTGATTCCCGGTCAGGGCACATGCCTGGGTTTCAGGCTCAGTCCCCAGTTGGGGGCGGGGGAGGTACAAGAGGCAGCCGATCAATGATATTCTCTCATCATTGATGTTTCTATCCCTCTCTCCCTCTCCCTTCTCTGAAGTTCATAAAAATATATATTTTTTAAAAAGATGCTACACCCATTTTACAGATGAAGAAGCTAAGTTCAAAGAGGTTGAGCTTGCTAGTCAGCAGGGAACCAAGACTTCAACCCTAGTGATCATCTTACCCCTAGGCCAGTGGTCTTTCTGTTAAACCTCACTCTCTGTAATGGACTCTCATAGTCCCCAGTGGCTGTGAAAAGTTGTACTTCTTTTATTTAAAAACTACCTCCAAGTTTGAATATGTGCCCTCTGATTGTAATAATCTATAGTGAAAAAACACTATAGCCTCTTCAGCCATTTTCCCAAACTGATTATTCTGTGTAAGAAGCCCATTCTACCCCCGTGGTCATTTTAGGTGCTAAATGTTTGTCTCCCCTACCTTTAACTTTTATGGGAGGATCACCATTTAGCATATATTTCAAGTATGGGTATACAAAGGTTTTTACAGATAAGTAAGACTATAGGTCTTATTATATATATATATTATTTTAGAGAGAGGAAGGGAGAGAAAGAAACATTGATCAGCACCTCTACCAAGGATCAAGCCCGAAACCCGTGCTTGTGGCCCGACTGGGAATTGAACTGGTAATCTCTTGGTGCATGGGATGATGCTCAGCCTACTGAGCCACACTGGCCAGGGCAGTAGTTCTTTACCTTTTACTTTTTAAAATATATTTTTATTGATTTCACAAAGGAAGGGAAAGGGGGAGAGAGAGATAGAAACATCAATGATGAGAGAGAATCATTAATCTGCTACCTCTTGCACCAAACGCTGCTGGGGATTGAGCCTGCAACCCGGGCATGTGCCCTGACTGGGATCGAACTACGATCTCCTGATTCATAGGTGGATGCTCAACCACTGAGCCACTGTGGCCGGGCACCTTTTATTTTTATATTATTTTTAAAATATATTTTTATTGATTTCAGAGAGGAAGGGAGAGGAAGAGAGATATAGAAACATCAATGATGAGAGAGAATCATTGATTGGCTGCCTCCTGCACGCCCCCCACTGGGGATCGAGCCCACAACCTGGGCATGTGCCCTTGGCCGGAATCGAACCTGGGACCTTTTAGTCCACAGGCTGACACTCGATCCACTGAGCCAAACTGGCTAGGGCTAAAATATTTTTAAATATAGAAAAACATACTTATCTAAATTTTTATTTCCTCTGTAGAGATATTATTATTTTTAGACCTTAGAGTTGTGAGGATTAATTGAGATAATACATGTATCTGTAAATAGTAACTATTCAATCAATTTTAGTTACTACCCCTTAAATACAGGAGTTTTACTGATGTAGAGTTTAAGTTTAGGCTGTGGTCTCCCACTTATTCTTGGCCACCAGAGGGCACTATTGCCTTGTCTATTTTAAAGAAGTCCTCTCAAGGTCAGGATGACCTCAGTGCTCAGCCTTCTCTCTTGCCCACTTCAGTTCTCAGGCACTTATTTGTATCTGGGCCCTAGAACTCACTTGGTTGTTTTATCTATACCAATCTTTTCCCCTTAACTTTCTTTTTTTTTTTTTTTTTTTGATTGATGGATTTTTTTTTTGAGAGAGAGAGAGAGAGAGAGAAACATTTATTTGTTGTTCCAATTTTTTATGCATTCATTGGTTGCTTCTTGTATATGCCCTGACCGGGGATCGAACCCTCCACCTTGGTGTATTGAGACAACACTCTAACCAACTGAGCTACCTGGCCAGGGCTCCCTTAACTTTCTTCCCACCTCCCCAGGTCCTATCCACTTTCAGAAAAAGACTATAAGCCAGCTCCTGTGACATACCTTTTAGTTCACTTGCTCCCAGAGCTTTCCCATTGGCCTTCTAGCAGTAAATGTCAGGACTGAACAACTTCAAAACAAGTCCATATAGTCCTCATGACAGTAGAATCCAGGACACTGTGTCAAAGGGCTTAGAGCATCACTGTTCCCCACCCTCCCTCCAATCACTAGAGAGCCAAAATAGGTTGCCCTTATGGCCACTCAATAATTATCCCTTGGGTAGCCTCACACTGAAAATGCCTCCTGTCGCTTGGGGCACTGGAGTTCAGTCCTCTGGTCTGCTGGCTGGTCTCTGTGGATAATTAACCAGAGAGAAGAAACAAGGTCAGACTATTCTAGGGTTAAGAGGAAATCCTCTGTGAGATGCTAAATTGGGATCAAATATTGATCAGTGGAGCTTTGAAGTCACCGACAGGTAGCAGAGGTTACTGCTCCGCTTATCTTTATTACGTTCTTTCCTAAGACCTACATGTGATCCCCAGTCCAGAGGAGCATTGGGTGGTAGGTGTGCAGTTGGGTATGAGGAAACTTGGTAAGAAAAAAGAATGGTTTTCTGTCTCTTTTCCCCAAGTCCACGCTATAAACTAGGTTCTTTATAAACTCGTAAAGTAGGTCTATGGAAACCTGGCTTAGATGGTACTGAGACCTCTGAAACTTGTTACTACTATGTGAGGAGATAAGAGGACTGTTCACTTGGGGCGTAGGTTTGTAGGTAAGATGCCCAGGCCCTTGAGTCACTTCCCTCTCTGCCCTTGGGTCAATGACAAGGCGGCTTTGGGAGGAGGGGAGGTCCCGAGGTCTTGTCTGCCCAGAGGAGTTAGTCAAGCATGGTGTGGACGATCACTTTAGTGCCATGTTTCCTTTAATGGTCTCTGGGGAGCACAGGGTAAGTGTATAAAAGATAGCCAAGTAGGAGACGGGGTACAGAGGCCCAGTGGG